CATTGTTACATGTATCCAAACACAAAAGGCCAATAGTGAAAATATTGCAAATAAGTTCTCTCTGAACAGCCTTGAAGGAAATATGATGAAAGGCAACGGAAGCTGAAATATGTTGAGAAATGCAGTACGTTTGTAAAAGGCAGCTAACACAGTCATTGAATAGAGCTACAGACCTCCATCAGGTCATCGTACATGCACCGTGTATCGTTACTGTCCGTGGTGTTGAAACGTTAAGGTCATAGTGACCTGTTCTGAGAACTTTGCCAGATGCTTCTGGCTTTAAACAATGCAACTGGCTGATGCGGGAGTTCACCCCTGATTGTTTCACAGTATAACTCTAAGCTGCTTACGAAGGCATTGCTTGGTTATTATCTGTTTGCTCTAAAGTGACATAACCGCCTGTCCATTCCTTATTTTATTGTGGTTAATCTGAATGTATTTGCCTTTAAACACCTGGGGACAGATGCACCAGTGGTTCGTGAGAGTTCAGACTTTGTTTAGCGAGTCTTTAAGTGGAGATTCACACGTCACTGAAATAATTTGGGTTGCAACACACAAACTAGTTCAGATATGAACTATTACTCAATATCTACAAATATTACAGCCAAGTGTAGCTGTTGTTTGCTACCTGAACCAACTGACAAAACTAATGTTAGCTTGCTAGTATCTGACCTGTTGTGAGATATGGTCGACTCATCTGACCTGGTTTGATCCAAATTATGTAAATTAAAGTTGTTTAAAACCATTAGTACATTTTAAAACACCAATAATACTATTCACCTCAAACCATGATAATAACATTGGCATCATTAGTTAGAGCTGAAAAAAAATTGTTGATTACTCAATCTAATTGATCGACAGAAAGTTAATTTGCAACTAATTTGAAAATTTAAAAAATCACATTAGTGGTGGTCTTTATATGATGATTAACTTAAATACAAAACGAGACATTTGAATATATTGACTTGGGCTTTGAGCAGTTGTGATGGGCATTTTTGAACTTTTTTTAATTGACCAAATAAGTCAATAGCAAAAATAATCATTAGTTGTGGCCCTATTATTGGCATAAAACGCTACCTTATCATTCTAAACTGAGTGTATATATGTAAACAGGAAGGTTTACGTAGTTGTTTTTGCGAATGTTTCCTAACACTCAAGTTACACATTACTGATATTGATGTTAAATTTGCAAATTAACTTTTTAAATGACTCTTAAAGAGGAACGACTGAACGAGGATTCGATACGCAAACGGAAGTGAATCGAAAATCCTGCTTCTGTATGTTGCATGTGCAGTTGTGCATAAGAGCCAGGAGAGATTCTCTGAGCCGGAAGTTAACTCATTCATTCTGCACACACCCCATGAGCCGAAGAACGAGTGAGAACTGCCAGACTCTCGATCAGTAAGCTATCCCAGTAGCACAGTGCACGCTCAACACAGCGCAGGTTTGCAAAAGATGCATTTGTGACTGCTATTTTGCTTGTGTTTATATGATTGTGGCAGATTTGTTTATTTATTACACTAAAAAAGCGTGTGGTGTGTATCCAACTCACTGCTCGCACACATCTCCCGACTGGAGCTAAATGCAGAACTACAGTCGTTCGTGGGAATAAATCACTTTGATATAGCTACTGCTTTCTGAGAACTTAGAAAGGACATATAAACTTAGTGATGGATTTATGTGTACAGCTGGTGCAACACAATCCTGAGCTGATGATATGACTGAACCTCTGCTGTTTTTTGGAAGAGCAATAAGACAGGAAACCATTGGTTGCAAAACAGATCAGCTGCAAGCATTTGCACAACATAACAGTCATTGAATCCCATAATATTCAGTACGGAATTAGTAAATTGAGTCTTTTATTCATACTGGTTAAACAGTGATGAAGAGGTTTGTTCAATTCTCTCAAAATTTGAAACAAAAGAGACACATGAACATTTGGCTATCACAGCTCTACATCTCATCCTCAACAGTGATTATTGGCTAAATATTAAGGAGTGGGTGTGTGACTCAGCTTGTATTTATTGAATCTAACCATACTGGCTACAGCGTCCAAGAAAGGCTGAATTGTGGTAAGACAATTAATTCATTGTAATACAATACTGTTTTAACAAACTCTGTTGCAAGGGCATTTTGCAATGCATAAATTCCTCTATTTGAACTACTGAGGAAATGACGTTTGAAAAGTTCACTTCCTTCTCACTTTCAACATTTTTCTGCTTGGCCTGATCGTCTATTACAATGATCTGCACAGATGGAACCTTTTTTATTCGGTCCTCTTTTATTATTGTACTCTCAGCAGAGCATGAGGTTATATAATAAAACAAATGTCTTCTGTGGACACAGGGTACATTTAAACTGTCCATTCTACATGAAATGTGACCATGTCCTGTGGTGTATGTGCCACCTCAATGTAAATACAGTTGATGTCTGTGTTTAGACATAGCTAAGAGATAATGCATGCTCCACCATCCTGCTAATGCTAGTGCCCTGTTTCTTTTCCTCTCCTCGTGTGTGTGTGTCAGTACCACTGCTACGCTTCAGACAGAGGATTGTATATACGCTCAGTAATAATATGTCTTCTTGCAGTTAATACAAACACATGTTAACTCCAGTCTTTATAATGTATATTTCACACAAACGATGAACAACGCTGTTGCAGACCCCTGGCGTGTCAGGGGTAATGAGATCTTTATGCTACAGTATCTGTGTGTGCTTAAGGCAGAGCTGCAAACAATCAATTGCAACATGACTATTAGTTTTCAAGTTATTGTTTTCAGAACTGATGACTAAAGATCAACTTTACTGCATACAGTTCCATCTATAGGTGGGACCATGATAATGATTTCAGCAGAAACATTTAGAAGAGCATTGCTGTTTGTCCTGGGTTTATGCTGCATCACTCTTGCTCTACATTTCTGCAATCACTGAGAGGTCAGGCCACCCTACAAAGAATTGGTCTCAGTTGTCCTTAATAGCTATGAGATCATGAATCATCCCATAGAAAAGCAGAGGGTATTTCCTTCCACAGAATACTCTGAGCCATGTATAACTTTGTATTCTCAGGGAGGGCCTCTTCCTCGCCACCGGGCATTGTTATGTGGTCTGAGCTTCTTGCAAGGTCATTATCTCCTGAGAATAGTCTGGTGCAACCTGTTGTCCTGTGTAATGTAGTCTGTTTGCATTGTGTGACCATCTACTTTCCATGATGTAGACAGTTCTGTTCTTAATTTACTTTTCTCACTAGAATTGTATGGATATATGTTTTTGAGTTCGGGATGCCTGTGTCTTAGATCTCGAAACAGCCATGGGTGTGGAGTCTTGGAATGAAAAACTGAAATGTATTTTGTGCTATGAGCTGAACATTATTTGGAGAACACCCTGGAAATCCCCTTCCTAGAAAACTGGAGAATCCTCCCCTTAAGGGTTGTCTGTGCTTTATAGATTGGCAGGTTTATTTCTCATCATAATGTACATCATGCCTGTCACAAATTGCTCTTATGAATTTGTTTCCCTCAATTTTTTAATAAAGATAAACTCTACTGACTTAGATCAAACTAATAGTCGGACTTCAGATAGACTTAATTGCATAAACCTTACGCTCTTACGAAATTAGTCAGACTAATTAGGTGTGAATTCTGTGCAAATAAAGACCTTTTTCAAATCAAATATGGACGACAGAGAATCCGCAGCTCTCACCTCACTTCACCCCATCAGACAGTGTTTGCGTTCTGGAAGAATTCATGCCATGCTGGCATGAATTGAGTGTTTTTTTGATACACTGCACAGGAAGGTAAAGTTGTTTACCTTGATGGCGTGCTGGAGGTGTGCTAGTTACAAACCATAGTACAAGCCCATTCCCTAAAGCCCTTCTCAGCTCACTGTAGCTGTTTCTGTTTGTACTGTTCCTCCCTGCAGTATTTAATACTGATCTCCTGACCAAATATAACAGGATATGTCCATATACAGTTGATTAGACCGGTTTCTATTGAAGAACAGTTAATGGAGCTCCACTAACTCTGTGATAAACACTTGTCCTTTTCTAGAACTGGGCAGCACATTGCATTAGTTAGCACTGTGGCCTTCTGCGTTCGAACCAGACCGCCTGCTGGGGTTTGCATGTTTACCCAGTGTCATTGTGGGTTTCCTCTGGGTGCTCCAGCTTCCTCCCACATTCCAAAAACATGCAGGTCAATGGGTTAATTGATGACTCTAAATTGCCCATAGTGAATGTGAGTGTGAATGGTTGTTTGAATCTGTGCGTCAGCACTGTGATGAACTGGCAACCTGTCCAGGGCCCCTCGCCCAATGTCAGCTGGGATTGGCTCCAGCCCACTGCAGTAAGTGGATAAAGATAATACATGGATTTCCTATAACGTCTTCACAATAAAAGCACCGTGCTGGTTCACCATTTGACAGCTTTTAATGTGAAACAGCAGACAGTACAAACAGGAACCACTATAATACTCTACTGTGGACCAGTCTAAAATGGCTTGAATGAACACAAGGTGCTGGTTTCACATTTATTTCTGATCACTGGTAAACATGTTTTTTTTAAAGTATAAATGTTTTCCATTGCCATGACTGACCAGGCTGTATGAAATCACTTTGGACTCCCAGAAAAGAGAGTGTGAGAGAAGTGTGTAATTTCCTCAAATACTGTGATGACATTGTGTCTGAGAATGCCAAAAGTAACTAGACAAGACAAAGACAAAACGCTTGGCGTTCCAAAATACACAACGTATTGTTTTTCATTATTCATAATTGTAACTTAAGTGTGTACTATATGCCTGAAAAACTATAACATTAACCGTGTTAACAACTGGCTTCCCAGTCCTTTTTTGTTTTTAGTGGTGGTACATTGGTTTGCAGCATACAGGTTTCCAAAAACAAAGCAAGAAAGAAGAAACTATTTATTTTTGGAATATGTGGACCCCATCCTTAAATGGTTATAATAGGATTTTCTAACCTTCTGATTGTTTTTCTCGGTTTTCCTCTAGTTGGACAACATCCTCTACCCTCCCTCCACATCCCTCAGGAAGTCCAGTAACCCCGAGCTGACTCATGGATTGAATCCTGCTCTCAAATTTAGGCGACATCTCAGTGACGATGGAAAATATGTCCGAAGAAGGAGCCTAGGGGGTGGTCTCACAGGTAATAATTGCATGTGTGTTCTTCCCATTTTTTCGGTTCTCTCAAGTATTTGGGCTGGTTTTGCCAGAGTGATGCATTTATAAATGATGCCACACCACCGTGTTTATTTGTATGTTTTCCTTTGGGGTTTGGAAAGTTGCTACTATAACAGCTGTCCTTTTTCAAGATCCATGTGTTCTTAATTTCCCATGCAATTGTAAATCAATCTTCAAACTTGGCACACACATTTTATATGTATAAAATAAGCGCTTCAATATATGTGGTCTTAATTGGCCACAGTTACCATGCTTGATTAGATTTATGTAAAATGGGATCAGTTTAGTCTTTTATACAACTTGGGAGGACAGTGCATGGGTTAACTGTGTTAACCTGCTTTGTACTTATTTGTCATTACTGTACTAATCTCAGTAGCCGTGTTTCCATTCATATATTTTAAAGTATCATATTATAAACCTCTGATGGAAACAAAAAGATTTGTGAGACATTTGGATGGAAACACGGCTACTGTAGGTAACCATACATTAATACCATATCCACTCTCCAAAAGTCCCTCATCAGGTCACTTCATCATTTTCCCCTCCCTCCTGAAACTCCCTCACCTTCACCTTCACTTTTTCCCAAAGCTTGAAGATTTATTGTAGTGGTCGACGCCCAAGGGAGAAAAATGGTTTATGTTAATCCTTATCACGTTAATGGCCACAAACCAATGACCATCTATCACTTTTAGAATAAATGGATACCCCTTAATGGGGAATTAATACCCCTTAATGTGTCTGAAGAGTCATTTCTCACAAATCAAAAACATGTTTTACATTTCACATTCAGTGATATCCAGCCATGGAGATATTTTCTGTTTTTGTTTTTTCAGATCTCACAGACTTTTGCCACCATCCCAGTACAATGGGGGTGATTTCATTTGTGGAGTTCAGAGCAGTGAAAAATGTATTTCAAGCTGCATTGGTTACTCCGAATAATCAGGATAATCCAACAGACCCTGCTGTGAACAGTTTTCAGTATTTCCTACGTTTGTGGAGAAAATAATTCCCAAGGACATGCTCTGAAATAGAAACGCCACTTCAAATGTAAGAATGTTTTCAGTTGCAGCAAGTAGTGATAAGCACACACCATCTGTCCCTTTAAACTGGCTCTGGGAAGAGGATTGCTCACAGGAATGCAGCAATGACAAAGTCACACTTGGCAGGACATCATTCAAAAGTGTATCAGAGTTTAAGTTTGATAAAGCCAATAAACGTCAGAGATGTGACCCAAATGTCCCCAAACTGGCTGCCCTCCAGACCTGTAAAGCATCAAGGTATCATTTCAAGATCAGAATTATTTCCATCCAACATTTGACATCCACATTTTCACTATTGGCTTCTCACCATAAACGATGGGGTAATACAGGGACACACACTTTTGTGCCAAAATTGGGAACAGTTTTGATTATTTCACACGAGAGATTTCTTGTCTTCTCACACCGTTTTGTCAGTGGAGGGCGTGAAACCATTGGAAAACGATGACATCACATATTTTAGAGCACCAATGAGGATTTAGCAGTATTTGAATCAAATGTGAAAGGCAGTTATAGGAGTGTGGAGGTTGTTTTTTCCCTCTGCTCATGCCCTTTGCACTTTATAGAGTCCTCTCAGCTATTCACTGGGTGTGGACTGCAGGGTGAAATGTGATTGAAAATTTAGTTTAGGTTTTAAATTTCTATAACCACATGTAGTCTCAGGAAATAAGAAAGAATGCATAAGCTAACAAGCTTATTACTTACTTTATTTACTGTTAATAGGACTGAATTTTGTGTGTGCTCTCCTGTAATGAAATGTGAAATGCTGCTGGGGTGGAGAATGTGTAAAGTCAGCAGAGAGTGATCCCCTTGGAATTGTAAAATTCAGTGTGTGAGGATTTGTGATTTAAGTTTGTAGGTCAGTAGCAAATCCTGCAGCAGACTTGGAGAATACAAACTACTTGACCAGATTTAGTATTTCATGTTGGAATTACTATATGATTTCTCAAGAACATACTGCACATACAGTTTATATGCAGTTTCCAAGAGATACGCATAGAACAAGAGAAGAGAGTATAACAGTTAAGTGTATAGTTTCATTCTGCCTCTGGATAGGGGAGTGGGTGTCCTGCTCACATGATGCATAGATAAATTCTTATCTCTGAACAAAGACAGAAATGCGGCTCTTCTTTTTTGACTGCAGCCTTGTTTGCTTCCTTTTAGAAAACTGGAAGACCCCAGGCTGATTGTCTTTGAGCAGCTTAGTTTTCCTCGTGAGATATATATGGAGGACTTTCACCTCACTGATTAAAATGTTGACCTTTTCACAGTCAATGAAAGATTGTGTTTTCATCAGGTGCAGCTTTGAATGAATGCATTACCCTTTCCTAATGGGTCTACATAAAAACAAGATGGATAAACAAACATTAACCTGACGCAAGTCAACTTCCATTAACTTGACTGTTCTGTTAAAGTCTTTGTTTCTAATTTAAGATAGGGTTTGATAGATATTGGGTTTTCTTCCTTGACATGATTTTAACTTAATTTGTTGTTGCAGTATAGCTAGTTTGTGCTTGCACAGAACCTGAGAGCACATACTGTTCAACTGCCATTGAATGGTTTAAACATGGTTTTAGTCAGGCAAAATGTTTTTTAAGGTTATAAATAACAGACAGTAATTTATTATAAAATTATTAAGCTTAAAGACACATCTATGTATCTGCCTATAAATTCACTGATGTGCCAGAAAGGTACAAATGTGCCTAGGACATCAAGTGCCATTCCTTTGAAATTGTGTCTCAAATCTTTCTGTTGGAATATAAAAAACCTCTGTAAGCCTCTGATCATTTTAATAAAAGAGCACTTATGTTTTAATCCCCCTGAGGAACGAGGAGTTGTGTTTCTCTTTGTGAGAGAATGATAATGTGACAAACTATAGTGTTCTAGGTTTACAACCCTGAGTTAATGAACTTGCCTGGAAAAGCAAGAGCCCTGTTTAGTCTTTGGGGAGTATAACAGTGAGCATAGATGGCCTTGCCTGAGATACCTTTTATGTAAAATGTCCAGCTGAATGGAGCCCAGTAGAACAGTGACAGTGTGTGCAGAGACTTTTGATTTGTTCGTTTATATTTCACATCATGATTCATGCAGGAGAGATGGGCTTGAAACAAGGGCATCTGCACAAGGTTGGGAACAGAGTGGTCTGACCTTGCAAATACCTACGCAGAATGTAAAAAAAAAAAAAAAAAAAAAACCCCAGCTGAACCGTCTACCCATATCCCCTGATCCCTCCCTTTCTATAAGTGTTGACTAGCGGCTGAAGAGAGATTTCCTTTATGCCGGGATGTGATGGACTCTAGTGAGGAAAACATTTGCCGGTAAGGAAGGAAGGACCTCAATTTTCCCTCCTTATCCTGTTTGGTCTCTCTTCAGTTCTCTTGATTTTACTAACTGGGCTGTTTTGTCCGCAATTGAAGAGAAAATTGCAAGAAAAACAGCGTTTGTCATCAGTGTTTTAGATTCTCTTGAAAAGATTTTATTGCACATTACTTTGTAATGTGTGTCATCTGCAGGAAAGAAGACACGACTTATGGCTAAAATTAACAGGGGCAGTGTTAAAGGTCCAGTGTGTAACATTTAGGAGGATCTATTGGTTGAAATGGAATATAATATGCATATTTATGTTTTCATTAGTGTATAATCACCTGAAAGTAAGAATTGTGTTTTTATTACATTATAATGATGTTTTTATCTACAGAGGAAGCAGGTCCTCTTCTGGCTCTAGATATGACCACCATAGTGGATGGGAGGGTGAGCTGAGGGGGTCGTAATCTGCAACTACACTGCTTGATGCCACTAAATCCTACACAAATATGAAATTGCATTATTTTTCACATTAATAATAACATTAGTAAGTTTTTGTTACAGGCCTGAGATTGAGAATATTATATCACTAGGCAAATGAGTCACTGGTGGCTGCCATACATTTATGAAGCTGCTTCCTTTTATTTGGGCCCCTTAATCTTTTCATGGGAAGTACCCAAAAGATTTCTCAGCACTGTTGCGTTACAGATGGGGACATGCTGGAATATTAAAATGTACAAACCACAAAATAAGAGGAATAAGGAATAAGAAGAACTGTAGTTGAATCGAAGCATATTACCTTTGTTAACACCATCCATTTTACGTTACTCTCAGACTTGCTCTTTGTTTTGGGAAAAAATTAGGTGCAAATTTACTTGCATGTCTCAATAGTCAGCAATAGTATTTGAAATATGTCCTTTAGCAGGAGAGTGAATTTACAAACCGGCCTTCTGCAGTTTAAAGAAAATACCTGCTTTAGGCCATATGAACATGAGATATCCCCTTTATGTTTTGAGCACAGTACTAATCTTCCCTTCCTTCACTGTGCCAAGATTGTTAATCCTCTACTCTGTCTGTCTCCTCGAGTGTTTACTTGAACAGGAAATGGAAATATACACATGTTGATAAAAGATGACAACACTTCTAAGAATTATTTTTCGAACCGCGGAGTGCCAGCGGTGCAAAAAGATCTGCTCATTCAGATACTGAGGCTGCTTATGTTACGTTTTAATCCTTGTCTTGCCTTGGTGTGCTGAGATTTTAGGATTAAAGAGGGCAGATGAAAGTGGATGAATGACAGAAAGCGGCAGTTAGTGCCATCTAGCTGCGAGTCCTGGGAGCTGAATGTGGATTCTCCTGTTGTTATTACAACTTGTAGGCAGATCCATTGACTTACTTTCATCAGACTTTGCTGGTGCTGGTGCTTTGATTACGTAATGCTGGGATTGTCAGTGATCTTTTAATGGGCTTGTTCCCCCTCTGGCCTAATTTAACCCTTTGACATCTTGCTGCACAGAACCAGGGGCTTCAGCTTTAAACTCCTAACAAGAGCAGACAGCTAGGATTATCTTATGACACTGGTATGTCATTTGACCTGTAATCCTCATTTACTCCCTCTTATTACAGGTCAGGGGTCAGTAGTTTGAATTTACAGCACTACAACAAAGCTTGTTGACTACAGCACAGTGTTGAAAACAGTATTCAGTAAGTAAAAATACCAATACATTAATGTAATATAAAAATACTCCACTGCAAGTGAAAGTCATTCAAAAAAGTATTATAAAGCAAAATGTACTGAAAGTATGCAAAGTAAAGGCACTCCTTATGAATAACTTTGAATAAAATATATTGCTGTGTATCACATACATTACATTAACACTGATGCATGTGTAAGCAACATTTTACTCAATGTGCAGCTAGTTTGAACTGTTGCACATATCAGGTCTTTTAGTTTGGTGGTTTCCAACCTAAGGGTCAGGCCGCTTCAAAGGGTCACAACTTAAATCTGAGGGGTCATGAGGTGATTAATAGGAGACAAAATAAGAAAAGTAAAGTTCTGCTACACAAATTTGTATTTTTTAAAATATTTTCTTTTTTGTGAAATAATTAAACCACATGAGCAGTTGAGGCGGGGAAATCACTTTATGGAGAATCTGTCAACAACGTGAAACATAAACTGAACCTCGTCCTCTTGTTGCACTGCAGGAAAGTACCTTCTGCTACCCACCAACCACCAGCAGACGCAGACAGCATTGCAGCCGGCAACTGAGATCTCTAACCTGATCCGTATGCGTTCCCTGAACCTGGGAAAGTCAGACCCCTCCCTCACCTCCAGCCCGGTGAGTACTTCCCAAACCATGACCCCGCCATGATATTCTGCATCCTGATCTAGGCAGAAGGCTTCCATTACCTCATCCTTTGGTCAAAATAAAAGCTGCTCTGTGTCATTTCACTGAACCAGTTATGTTTGGTAATAGGGGATGTTTCCAAAAACATAATTTGCCTATAACCACAATGTGTAAACAAATAATATCCATGATGGACAAAAATAATTTCTAAGAGGATATTCTGAAATAGTTATAAAGATGGTTGCCACAGATATGATAGTCCTGGTAGCAGAATTAAAACAAATAAGCATAATGATATTAAGCACATACATACATATATACATACATATTCTTTTCAGTGGATAGCCCTGTTATAACTGCTTGAGTTCTACTTAAAATATACTGTATATTTTTTTACAGAAACATAATGTAAAGTACTGAAAAAGTTCATTCATTTACAAATTCTGTGGATCTAAATTTTGTCTTTTGTTCGACAGAAAAATGTATGTATTAATGCACTAAGATTCCTTAAGCAAACTGAAAGAAATTGAGGCTATAGACATTAATATAATCAAATTCCTAATAGTGGAATATAGATTCAAGCTAAACAAGTGTGTGAGCCTAAAGACAAACTCCAAGACAAACAAAATCATCAAATTTATCATTAAAATGTGTAGAATTTACTACATCAAAAACAGCTAATTGCAGCGGAATAAAGTTATACTAGAGACTGAATTTTTGACTAAATCAGTGATATGGAGGCACAGTTTAGCAACAAGACGTCTGCAAACCTTTTATCTGTCTGCCACTTCTATTCAGTTCTGAGACATTTTCTATATTAGTAGATTAAATGTAGATAAACAAACTATAACCAAACATTTCTATTGTATAAGTTTTGTTCAGTGTATAGAGAAATCTCTAATGCTTTTAGTTAGCTACGTCCAAATGATATTCCATATACAATACATACCAAACATAACAACGTTGTCATGTTCCAGCATCACTAAGATTCTCTTATCTCTGCCTATAAATAGTGAAATAAGATCAAACACACCTGTAATTTGTTTTTACCGATATACTGTTCTGTGTAATGTAGCTGACATCTGCTTTAATGAACGACCTGTATGTTTCGTTAATGGCTCTTATCTGTCACTGCTGCAGGTTTATGAAGCACTTTGCTGCATTGTTTTGAAAAGTACTTTATAAATCCATTTATTTCTATGGATACAAAACATGACAAGCCACACAGCATCAGTGTTCACATTTATCAAGGATAATTAAATGGATTCAGAGAGGCTACGGTGATTGTAGAGCTGCAACCATTAGTTAATTAATCGATTAGTTGTCGGCTATTGCATTAATCTAACTATTTTGATCATCAATAATCGTTTTTGAGTCATTTTTTAAGAAGAATGTCCAAATTCTCTGGTTTTAAGCCTCTCAAGCATGAATATTTTCTGGTTTCTTTAGTCACTCTATGACCGTAAACTGAATATCTCTTTGGGTTCTGGACTTTGGGAAACAGTGATAAACATTTTTTATCATTTTATGGACCAAACTAATCAATTAATCTGTAAAATGATTATTTGCAGCCCTATAATATCGTTGGATGCCTGTTTAAGCATGCATGTAAGTCTAAATGCTTCAAATTAAAAAGTATTAAGAAAATAAAGAATGGAACAGAAAGTGCATGCTTAGTTTGAACCGAATGAAGTCATGCAGACAGAGGTGACCTTCAGCGTGGTCCCACTCTGTTCCTTCAGATGACAGATACTCTGCTTTTGATTGTATCTCACCCCTGAGACAACAAGATCACGAGATACCCCATCAGAGGCTAATCCAATGCCGTTAAGCTATGAGTCATTCCCAGCGTGTGCTCGGTATCTATTGGAGAAAAGGTTAATGTAATAAAATGCATTTGTGTGTGCATAAATGTGTGTATTTGTGCTTGTGTGTGGGTGTAACTGTGACAGAATATTTTGGTAACTGACACTTACACCATTAGTGATCTGAGTGGAAAAGACACTGTAACCCGAACCGGAGGGGGTCTAACTATATCTCAGATGACATCACGGCCACCCTGTTTACACTAATAACATAATTCCTCTAACACAGTATGTGATCCTGATGACTGATTTTGAGACAGCGTTGACATTAATTAGCTTAAAATTCATTAAGGTAAAGACTTAAATAATAACTGAAGGCATCTCAGGTGATTTCATCTGTGCATCTGGTTTGTTTTTTAGTGCAAAATATCTGAAATACTTCTGTACACTGGGGGGCGCTAGTGCATTTTCAGTATTTAGAAGTAAAACGCATGTATCCTTGTGTTTGTAACAGCCATAAATTAATCCCTTTGGTTATTGTGCCCTGCAGAGTGAATGAATAAATGATTTCCTGTAACATAATTGTCCTCCAGTGGATAAGTCCTCCAGTCTATTTGTTGATTCAGTTTAAGTTTTAGCACTTGACGACCTGAACGAGACATCTTTGACATTGCCAGTACTTTAGGATATTTATGTTTTTAGAATAATGCTTTACTAATCCCCCATGGGCATTTATTTTACTTGCCAACCATCACAGGGAGGTTAGAGCATGAGATTAGCAACGCTGCAGCAATCCATGAGCTGGTAGGGATTGAGTATCTTGCTCATGGACACCACAGCAGGAGAGATGGAGGGTCTCCAGCCACATGCAATTCCTCCACCTACCCAGGAATGAATAAACATTCTATCCCACTTGCATGGCTCTATTAAGACTTTTCCTGTATTACAAGTATCAGGTCCTGTTGAGCATTAGGAGTGTTTGTTGTAAGTGTACTTTGTGAGCCTTGAATCAGTCCAAAGTTAATGGAAAGGACTCGCCTCCTAGGTAAGGCTGTAAGGTCATGGGGACCCAGGAGCCTGACACGCAATTTTTTCATCAGACTTCATTCAGCAAATGGGACCGCGAATAGAATAGCTGAAATTGGGCTTGTTGCTAAGGAAGGGCACTGGGGTACAATGCATGGTCATGGTGGATTGCATTCCCCCTGCACTACGTGCCATACTGAACCCTTCCGCCTCCAGAAATTAGTTGTCATGGAAAAATAAAAAAAATCAGAGTGATTACTGCAGCCGATCATTCCACGTGATAGAATTCATTGTGAGTGTTTAGGGACGCCTTCACTGACCACCGTTGATCACTGAAACTCATCACCTTCAGCTCTACTAAGGGCGAGTCCAGCAGTCTATTTGCTACAGTTTTCCCTAAAGGCTTCTGTGATGGCATTATAAAAAGTAATTTGCTCAAAACTGTAACTGCGTACTAATGTGATGCTGTGGTTTTTATTGGATGAATTACAAATTAATTCCATTCATAAATTGGTTTACCAAGACAATCTGTATTGAATAAATATTGTGATTCTTGCATTACGATGATGCAAAAGGTGCAGCAGCCTTTCACAACATTAAAATGAGCTCATTCCTTTTGAAGTAAAATGGAAAAGTCATTTGAAGACAATTTAAACTGCTCATTTGATAACGGCCCTATTGATTGAGTTTCTTCAGGTGAAAGGACTGGTTGAAACTAATGATTGCCCACACCATAGCCTCTTTAAAGCTGATAATTTTTTTCTAGATTCTTTCTTTGTGCTTTAACATCTTCCCACACTCTTCCCTGCAGATATTTGAATGCATACAGTATGCATTCAAATATCATAGTAGATCATCTTTATGCTTCAGTGGTATGCAGCTCAAATGTTGTCTCATCCTTATTCCTAACACTGTTTGCATGCCCCCAGTGGCTCTGTGGTTGGCACTATGAGAAAATTAGATACTGGTGACCGCTGCTCTGATATTGTCATGTGTCGACACAAGCTGAATGGCTGATGTGTTGCTACATCTTAACGGTATCTTTTGGAGTCGGCTGCAGTGGCACCGCAGGGGTTCATCTACAGCCACTGTATATCTTGCCTTCAGAACAAGCTTAGAAAAGATGGTGAATTGGTTGACCTTGGGAGAGAAATCAAAGAGACAAACACCTCAGTTTCTAGACTCTAAATGGAAGGTGCTTTTCTTAGTTTTCCTCATAGATTTTTAACTTTCAATTACAAAATGTTGGTGATTGTGAGTCGTTTTCTGTTTTTGGAGGGCATATAAATGGGACTCAAACAACATCTTCAGTGTACTTGAAACTAGCAAAGATGAGGCTTATCAGTTATACAGGCTGCAGAGTGGCATTTGTCATATGATGGTTATATGACTGGGAAGCACATTAGTCCCTGTCCTTGGTGACAATGAATGAATGGAGGGCTGCCAGCATACAGACTTGGATGCATCATCTAGAGTGTTGAGCATTAGATTGTTTTCAGTTCTAACCACAGTCAGATCTGGCAGATATATCCATTTCTGAAGAGATTTAATTGGCTGATTTAATTGGATTTGATTACTGTTCTTTCAATTTGAAATGTGGTTGGTTTAGGGTCAGGCTGCGTTCTATTACTAGAAATACTACAAAATTGATAATATTGTGGAAACATTAATTTCAAGGGTTTCCAGGAACTAAATTTGAGCTTAAATTACACTTAAATCGATTATGTAATGGGGTATTATTCACTTTATATCGCTTCACTGTTCCCCAGAGTTACTAAAAAGCCAAAGTTTTTCTTTAGTTAAAATCTCTGGGTACTCTTTTTCAGTCAAATATATTTTATTCAAAACCTGAATGATACAATAGCTGCATGAGCTGCTGTGACCATGACCGTAAGTGTTCTCTGTGTGCTGAGTTTTTGAAGACTCTTCTAGGGCTGCAACTAGCAATTATTTTTGTTATCAGTGAATCAGTTAGGTTCTGTAAACCATCAGAAGACATGATGAGATCCTAGAGCCCAAGTTTATGTTACTGAATGTCTTGTTTTGAGAAGAGAGAAATACTTTATTCACTATAAAATCAGCACATTTTCACATTTCAGAGCATTGTTGCTTGAAAATGACACTTGAGTCGATTATCCGGATAGCTGCAGATACATTTTT